GTAAGGTTTTCGAAACTAGTCCAGTTTTTGCTGAAGGGCTAAAAAGACTGAGCAAGTTTTCACTAGCTTTCACTGGTTTAACCAAGGCATATCGGTCAATGACATGAGAAACACATCTGCTACGCGCGCTTCTTCCAAGTTGACATCCTTGACCAGTTGATCCAATTTCTTTTGCGATTGACAGCTTCCAGCTCAGTCAGACCACTTCTAGGCATGATTGCTCTCAGTCAACAACCTACACTGGCTGAGCTAAGCACAATTTGAGCTCTGTAATCAGATTGAGTTCCCAACAAGCAAAACCACTTCCTCATTCTCATCAGAGCCTTGCCTTGGGTCACACTCATATTCAAACACAAAACCAAAGCACACTGTTCATTGTTCAATTCAAAAACACCAACATACACGTTATTTATTCACTATAGCTCCAAGATTCCTGGGCGATAAGACAGCGATCGAGGTTCTTGAGCAGGTCATTGGGAGGGTCTCCAATGCGGGCGCTCAGTATCCCCTCACTACCAGAACTTCACTGCTTGCTCTTGGGAGTTTTAGGGAGCTTTGGAGGCAGGATTGTTCCGTCGAAGAGAGTGGCATCCATGGTGACACGACCAATGGGAAGTTGGAAGAAGCAAGACATGTTTATGGTTAAGGAAGAGAAGCCAAAGACTGAAGAGGAAGGAGTGAGGATGAGTGAGGAGGAGAGGTAGACAATATCCCCAAACTAAAGATGACGCTCCAGATGGGCGCCCTTCTCCAGGGCACCCCTGTTCACAGGAAAACTAAAATCGCATTGAAGCGCATCAAGTCTCACTTGAAGCTTGCTTAATCGTATTTGTGAATTTGTTGTCTTTGAACGTGCAATAAAAGACTAAAACTGATTGAAAATGCAAAAAGTGTATTTGTTACTTTTGTATCGGAACGTGAGGTTCAATAAAAGCTCGGCAAGTAAACGCTTTAAATTACTGTGTTTGAGTCAGCAGTACATTGCCATCCTCATTTTGCTATGAGTTTGTCAGATTAATTACTATTGATACTTCAATTTGTTTTTAGAAAAATTGTGTTCGAAAACCCTACTAGCAAAAAGACTGGGCAAGTGAATCTAGTCAAGTCTTGGCAGCGCTGTTGTTGATGGCATCGCGCCGCTGTTGCTGCTGCACTTTCTGCTGATGGACAAAGCGCCGATGTGCCTGGAGAGTCGGAAAAGTAAAAAGTGAGCAAGAGCTTAGAGCCCTGTCATGTGGCCACATGGTGCGCTTGGACTGCGTGAACAGGTACGGAGGTTTCAGGCAAGACATGTTGCAGCACTACCTTCCGGCCATGCGGGCACTGCAAAATGGCCAGAACCCATGGAGCTGAGCACCCCAAACTTCTGGAGGAAATGCCCGATCTCAAGCACACGGTGGCTACCGCGGCACCTGGGGAGGCTCCAACTCCTGGTGCCATTGGCCCAGCGGTGACCGGCCCTGGCATGGCCATCATGGTTCCGTTGTAGAACAGCTAGAGGCTTGAAAGGTTTGATGAGGGTTTGTCAAAGTGTTTGACTGACTGCGTGGTTTGACCACACGCGCTCAGTGAACTTTGTCTTATGAGATGGTTTTTATGTGGGAAAAGTACCTAGTTAAAAACATACTACAGCCAGCCAATTTGTTCTGGGTTGTGATTCAGTGTGATGCTTGATTGGTTGTTTAAACCAATCAAAAGGGCGCCCTTAGCCTTGGAGATTCGTGTGTCTTATGTGAACAGTACTTTGATTTTTGAGCATCATTGGACTCCAATAACATTCATTCTACATGCTTGCTTGTCAGTGTGGCAGTTGGGGGGTTGCAGTTCAGCGCATTCACTTTGCTGCGCTCTTTGTCTTGTTGTTGCGCTTTCACTGGTTTTTCAATATTTTCGGAGCTGGAGTTGCACTTTTTTTGGCGCTTTTGTGTCGCGTGTGTGAAACTCCCATCTCATTCGTGTCACTTGTATGCACCTCTTTGCACTTTTGTGTGACTTGTTTGCACTCTGGTGCACTTCAAATCTGATTGGTGATGAAATCTGAGGGCGCATCAGCTTTTATCTTATTTGCGTCAGAAAGTGCACAAATAAGATCAAAACTGATGTGAAGCTGGTTTGAGCTGATTTGGAACAAAAAACACCTAGGTGATACCATTGAGACACAAGAGTTGCTTTAAAAATAATTCCACCCTTTGCGCGGAAGAGGAACAGTAATGATTAAAGTATGAGTCAAAATAATAGTAATCAACACGTGCGATGAGTTGTTTTTGTTCGGCGCGCTTCGCGCGCAAGAGTGACGCACACATATATATATTTATATATTTATATATTTATATCTATATTTAGATTTAGATTTAGATGTATATTCTGTGTTGCCCAAGCAGATACCCACCTTCCATCTTGGGCCGCCTTGAACCCTCGCAGCGCGCGTGAAGGGCACTATGGAGCACAAGGAATGTAGGTGAGTTGCTCTTTGGTGGGGGCCTTTGCGACGGATTGGTCCACGCAAGTCCGCTTTCCGAGAGCCTCACATCTTGAAAAGAACACGCTGCTCTAAGGCGTCGAAGAGGGCTCTCCAGCGTGAGGGTGACTCCATACCTGGGTCTGACCTGGCAAAGCTCCAATCTCAAGCCTCACCGATTCATCTAGATTCATGCCCTCAACTGTTCCATCACCTCAAAGCCAAACATCTCTGGTATGGCGCCATCTTTTGCAATGAACATCATGACTTTGCTTACCTATACATCTCTTAAGCTCTTCAATCAGCTCCTCTTGGCCAGGGCTGACTGGCAGTGTCCATCCTCTTGATTCCTGAACCCGGAATGAACTGGGGGCTCTCGTGGCCCCAACTGAGGTTCTCGCATCATCTCCTTTTCCACTCCACGACCTCCTTCAACTCATCACTGAGCCTCACTGCCAACGCGCGAACCGTCTGCAGCGTGGAGACCACTCTAATGAAGAAATGAGACTTGGCTGAGCCACCACATCCCTGAAAGTAACCCTCTCCTTCACCACCTGTCTTCCCTCTCATGATCTCACGGCCAACGTCTTTCCTTGCACAGCTTGTGATTCTCGCTCCCTGGGCGTCCTGCGGGTAGGGCGTCTTTCCTGATATCTCACCCCATGTGCATCACGCAGCCTGGGAACACAGAAGCGTCTGCACCGGAATCCACGAGTCTCCTCTTCAATCTCACGCACCGCGCTCAACTCATAAGCCTGCTCCTCACCTTCAGCTTCATCGTCAGCGGGGATGTTTAGATTGATCTCCTCCGCCCGTTGCGCCACCCGTCGTAGTAGAAGGAGAAGTGGTCAGCGCCTCAATCTGCCTGCCGCAAACCATCTTTCGTTTTCCACATGTCCAGCATACATCATTGTTTCCTTTGCCCCCTTTGTTGTCTTTGCCTCCTTTGCATTTACTCTTGCCCTTGTCGTCGACTTAGCATCTTTGCCTTTCCCTTTCTGGTCCTTGCCGCCCTTTCCTTTCTGCAACCGGTCAATCTCCATCGGCAACGCCTTGGTCCTTCGTCTGCATTGGGCTCACACCTGAAAAGGACAATGCGCCTGATCCATGACCTGATGAGTATGGCAGACTTCATGCCTGATGACAGCTTTCCTCCTCCAAACTTCTCATACTGTGTGAAGCGCTCCTCAAGTTTCAAGATCTGCAGCAGAAGTGAACTTCTCATGTTGAACAAGAGATAGGCCATAGCGCCCTGCAACACTCATCGTCGTGTTGCGAGCCTGAGGCTGGCACTTGCCAAGAAGCTGACGAAGTGCTTCATAGCCGTTGAACTTGTCGATGTTGTTTATGACTCCAACCAGCCTCCCTTGCAACAATCCTCCACGAAGGGAATATAGGAACCTGCTTCTCTGTTGTTCTCCATCTGAAAAGAAATCCCAATTATATAAGCTCAGTGGATGGGTTTTCCTCCATCTTCTCAATCTCCTCCTGGTACGCTCCATCCACCACCACCAAATACTGCTTGAGGCTCCAGAACCAATCCTCCACTGAAAAACCTCCTGTTCCCAGGATTGAATACCTGTGGCCTCGGAATCAGTTTCGCAAAGTCCTTCTCGAGTACTCCAGCCTCAACACCACCTGTAGATGCCGTATGTGTTGCTGAACCCTGGGCTGCTTGTGAGGCAGCACGCGGCGCCGCTTACCCAATCAGCTCCAGCCAACATCGCTGCATCTCCCGCAAATCCATCCATCTCCTCACCTGGGTGCCCTCATCGATGGGGCCAGTGACCTTCTCCAGCTTTGGGGCGTTGGTCCACTGCCAATTCCTCAAGGTGGTACTCAAAAACAAGGATGTGGGCAAGGCAAACCTGCTCACAATTCACGGTCAAATAAACACAAGCAAAGAGGGCGAGCGAGACACACCAGCCAAATGGGATGCTCGGCACGGTCACGTGCAAAGACTGGGCCCGAGATGGAGAGGGAGGTCTCCCTGGAGCTCAGGTGAGATCCGTAGAAATCACCATCCTTGCTCCGCTACCATGCGGATAGTGCACTTTTGAACACTCAGGGCCTGCAGTACGGCATGTGTCTATTGCGCAGCATGTGAGTGGCTTTGTTTGCGCAAGAACCCATCTATCAACAGTACTAACCGACTGACTGCCAACACAAATTAGGGCCCAATGAATGCCTCCACTGCAAAGGATCCTTGTACTCCTCCACCACGGCCGGCATGGCTGAGCTGTATAATTACAGATCAAGTCGCACGGAGTTCTGTAGAATTCGCCACCCGGTAATTTCATCAGATTTGTTCTGATCGGCTTCACTATGATACATGCAAAGATCACAGCTCTCTTGGATCGACATCCCATGTCTCCCAATGATGTACTGAGGTGCTCCACCATGTTGGAAAACCTGCTGCCTCTTTCAGCAGGCAAGGTCTTTGGAGCATGCAACGATCCTAGAAATGCCTGGACTTCTTCCGCAGCACAGGCTAGAACCCCAAGCTAAGCGCGACGATTGCGTGACAGTCTTAGCGTTTGGCTCTGGCGCAGGCCCCAATCCCCGCATTTAAGCAGGTTGCGTCCGGCCACGGGCCCTGGCGCCACATCTCCTCGCTGGAAAGCTGCGTTGACTAGCTTCTGCTCATCTAAGTTTCAGTGTTCAGTTCAATAAACCGGTGCCCGGCAACAATCATTCGAAGAGGTTTTGTGAAATAGTTCGGGGAAAGCATGTTTTGAAGCCGCAGCCAGCTGGTTGAAGCGCATGCTCGAGGCAAGCGTGTGAAGAAGAGTCCAATACCCAGAGCATCGACATCCGATCTGAGCACAAACAAGTTTTCTTGAGCTGTTTGCCTTCTACTTAATTTACAGCGCGTTTACTATGTGTACTGTAATTTGACTAGAATTGAAAGGCTTCCCAACTAAAGCGTTGCCGTGTCCTTACTTGTCCTTGTTGAAACCGGGACCAAACTTCTTCAAAAAGCTCCTCCAGCAAGGCTGTAGCATTCTGCCATTCACGTGCCTCAGCAATGGCTGCACGCATCTCAATCTTGGAGCAGGTATGGCAGAATCAGAAGAAAAACATCTTGTCTGAAGCACTGGCTAACCCCACTATCTGCCCAGCTATTGGTTTTCACATCAGCCAAAAATCTGCGGTTCAATCTTCCTGGGCCACCCTACTCCAGCCATCTGCCTCAACGCTGATGTGCACCGAGGTAGGCCTGCACAGTTGCGGAATGCTTAAAAAGAGAACCAGACAACTATGTCCTGCAAATGTGCAAAAGGGCGAAACACCGAGAAAAACCTTGCCAACCCTTTGCATGGCTACCCAACCAATGTTCTCAATCTTGATGCTCCGCAAGGCCATCGCTAGTAGGTTGGAAGCCATCGCTAGTAGGTTGGAGGCATAATTAGCTCCAAAGCGGTCCAAACTCAGAGCTCCCCACTTGGCAAGCGGCGATCACGGCTCCCCAGTGAAGAGGAATCTGCAGGCCACTGATAAACACAAGAAACGATCAGGTCCTTAAGGGCTGTGGTATGCTGTGGGAGCAACCGATAGCTAATGTCCACTGAGCCCAGGTTTCTGTGTGGGCAGCGGTCACTGGTTTGGGAGGGAGGCAGATGTGGGTAGATCTTGTCACAGTTCAAACTATAGTGAAATACAATTATATAACCAATCAAAACACGAAGTAGGAACTTTCAACCCCCAACATTATCCGTGCCGGAGGAACATCGGCCGGGGCTGCAGCTTATAAAAGCGTTCCTAACTTTAGTACATTGTATTTGCTTGTTGGATTTGAGGCCTTCTACTAGGGAGAACGCAGACAAAGAAACAGTTGTAATTGAAAGAAAATCGCACAAACCGAAGCCGGATGCCTCCCTGGAAAGCTCAGTGCCTGCTAGCATGGCTGCAAGCTCGCGGGCCTCTCATATTCCCAGTCAAGTTCACAAAGCGTGCATTTCAACACGCGCATAATGGCAAGACCTGATTTCACACGTCATTTGCGCAAATGCAAAGATCAAAATCCGCCCGCACCGAAGGTGCCGAGGGCGTAGTGGAGGCCCGTGGCAACAGCAATCGGAAGAAGTCTGCTAGATTAAATCTTAAGCTTTACTTTGGGGGGTCGCGTTTGCTCGGGAAATGCTGTGCTTTGCAGTGTTTTTGAAAGTTGATGGTAAGCCCAAAGAATATCCCCAACAACTTAAGCGCAAAATGCAACACTTTTTCTTCAGGTTAGCAAGGTAAACTAAGAGGATTGGATACTAAAAGGTTAGCAAGGCAAAAGCTAACAGTAGGAAGCACAATGAAATAGACTTGAGGTATCATGAGGTGTCCTTGACTGTCGATTCGGGCCCCGAAACCGGATTCGGGGCCCGAATGGAGAATAGGAGGAAACTAAGAGAATAGAATACTAGAAGGTTAGGAAGTTAAGAGAAGGAACCACAATTGAATAGACTTGAGGTATGATGAGGTTGCCTTGACTGTGGATTGGGGCTCCGAAACTGGATTCGGGGCCCGAAACCGGATTCGGGGCCCGAAAGCGGATTCGGA